TATATATATATTAAATATTTATAAACGTTTCAACTCATAGTTTGAATCTTCTTCAACAATATTTCCCTCTAACGCAGCAGTTCGAATATTGCATCGCAAAATAATATCTTCAAGTTTTTCCTCTCAAAAAATTGAGAGATACGTCACTATTGTGAAGTAAGTCACAATACTCACAAAGTTAATAAGCTGAATGATGATGAAAATTTAAACTCACAAAGTCGACGCTTCTATATTGAACAATATATCGCATGCCAAATTTTATGCAGTTAATATGTTAAAAATTTAAAAGTTAAAACAAGAATTGAGAGAAAAATTTATCATTCATGTCATTTCGTTGGTTGAATAATAATGATCACATTAAAAATAGAATTAGCGGAAAATGATCAAAGTTTAATTAGACATTTTATACATTTTTACTGATAAAAGTAATTATATCTCCATATCATGAAATTTGATTAAATTACTTTATTAATTTCTGTTTTTCTTTCTCTCTCTCTCTCTCTCTCTCTCTCTCTCTCTCTTTCCCTCCCTCCCTCTCTCTCCTTAATCGCTAATTTTATTTTCTAAATAGAAAGAAATATGTAATACTGTGAATCGATCTCAATTTTTTTTAATGTTTCTGAATGCTTCTGAAAGCAAGAATAATAGACAAAATATCTAATCACTAAACTTTATTAATCAATTAGGAACCGAATCTTTTCTATGCTGCACCATTACACTATGATAAATTCACGATGCCGATTGTCGTGTTCCATATTCCAGAACTCATTATTAGATTTGTTCGCGTCGCATGCTCCAATATTGTAATATGCTCTTACCATAGCTCTTACTCATTCCAACGTGCTTTATAAAGTTGTAGTAAATAGGAATTGTGGTAGGAGCTTGTTGGAGCATGTTGGAGCTTGCGACGCGAACAAATCTATTGACATACTAGGAAAGAGGAAGAAGGAGAAACGGGAATGCAGTAGCCAAAGCTTAGTTGTATCCCGACACGTGCGAAATTTCAAGCGGAGCTGTCTTTTTTTTTTTCTCGTAACCCTCGTTTTGCTGCAAAAAAAAAACGTGCGCATAAATATCGGGCAGAGGCGACGAGCGACAGACTCGTCAAAGCTACACATGCGGTACACGCGAGCCATCCGTGCGAACCCGTCACGACTGATAGTGCATTAATATCGCTCGGACGCGCAATTCATGGCAAACGATCAATCACGCGGAGATTTATTTCCGTTGTGTTGTTCTTCCCTTTTCTTCCTCGCTTCTTCGTTCTCCTCTTCCTCCTTTTATTGTATTCCATCTTAGTATATATCGGTTACGGAATTGTCGGATCTCGTTGCGGTTGCCGTGACGATATTGTCATCGTTGGATTATTCACAAAGACACGAGTAATCCAAATCGTCAAAGATGCAAATCGTCATGAGATATACATGTAAGAGAACGAGAAGAATAGAATAAGACGTAAATTCTTGCTTGTTTTATTAAATTCAATGCCAGCGAAAAACTTATAAATTTATATATCGAAATCGGTCTGCTCTCGTCACAAATGTAGAAATTTATTCGCGATATCGCATTTATCCATGTTTGATTTATTCACGACTGTTTTCAGTTCCAGTAACCGCTTCTGCGCGTTTAATCAATCTTTTATCGGCGTCTCGTCGCCGCCAATATTGTTGACGTGTTTTATTAATCAATTCGTTTCGATATGTACGCGATTCGAGGCACAGACTGTTAGTTATTTCACAATTTATTTTCACCGCGTTAGCGGAACTACCCGCGTCACTCCGTTCCGCTGCATTCGTAATTGCAAAATGATTGCAACCGTTATCGAAGGATAAATCCACCTTCCCAGCTTGGGATGGGGTACCTTGCATTTCCACGCGGATCGTTATACGTTACTCTCTTCACATGCCGCGTGCCGCTCCGTGACAAAGTCACGGTACGTAGGCACCGGTATTAACGACGTTGCACCGACGGATAAATTGCAGCGTCACGCGACACGAATATTTCATACTTCATCATTCTTCCTTTCTCACTTTCCTTCCAATTTCCTTTTGTTCCTTTAATTTTATCATAAGCCAACAGTGCATTAACCCGGTGCACCGGTGTTTAACACAATGTTCAACGCAGTCGCGAAGAAAGTAAAACGCTTGTAGTGTAAAGCCTTTTTTCCTTCGGAGTTTTTGTTCTCGGAGAAAATCCGAGAAATCTAAGAAATAGAACGCATCATATCAAAAATTTAGCAAAAATATGAAATATATTTATTCACATTTATTTATCTAAGATATTATGTCGGTTATCAAATGATATAATGAATATTACCCATTGTATTGTTATAAAATCTAATTTTGTTAAATCGATTCATCACATAATTCTGATCATCCTTCTCATTTATCGTTATTACGTAAAGATAAGATATATAACTTGAACGTTTTTGCGTGTAGATATTTCGTTACGTTCCGCAACACGACATTCATTTATGTTGTCGATTAATCGTGTTATTGAATAATGCATTCTATCATCCATCCCCGCCTATTTTCAACCCTATGTAGAGAATCGTAGCGTTCCCTGTGGCAAGGGTTAAACCTCGGCTTGCATTACAGGCGTCACAGTGTCACGCGACTCAAATATTTCGTGCTCGTGCCCATCCCCCTTGCTCTCATTTATCTCTGTCTACCCTCCGCGCGCGCTCTTTCTCACCTCGGCCGTCTCTTTTTCACACCCAGTCTCGGCACGTCTCGTTATCTTCACACTTCACTTGAATTTCTCGTATCAGGATCATCTTCGTCCTCCGCGCCTATCTCCGCGCACGCCGTGTAAGATAACTGGGCATACTAAAGTTCGCTGTACCGGAAATTCTGAGTAAGTTTCGAGCGCGCGTCTCGTTGCTCCCTTATCAGGGAAATATTTTAGCTTTTAATAATACCGAAAGCTATTAGGAACGTGTGTCATTCAGTGATAAATATTTCATTTCATTCATAGATGAACGAAGATTTACGAAATAATTATTTACAACTACGATTAGAAAAGCAGAAATTAATTAATATCGTACAAAAAAATGTATTTAACTCTAATTTTTACAAGCATATATGTGGTGTGTGTGTGTGTGTGTGTGTGTGTGTGTGTGTGGTATGCGCGCGCGCGCGTGCGTGTGTGTGTGTGTGTGTGTGTGTGTGTGTGTGTCAAAAAAATATATACATATTATACTTCATGCTATGAAAATAAAAATAGACGGAATTTTTAGAATTAAATAAATGTCGCTATTTTTAAATGAATATTCTTGGAAGAAATGAAGAACTAGTATGTATGCACTCGATAAAATTAAAACATTTTTAATTTTAATTTTAAATTTAAAAATAAAAATATAAATTAAAAATATTTTACATATCAGGAGCATACATAACCAATACCAATTCTTCATTTCTTTCCAGAATATATATCTATATTTAGAAAATAGCGACACTTACAACTGATTTTTTTTCGATACGTTATATTTTCCTCGTTCGTTATATTACGTTTTTATATTTACATTTAACATATCTATCTTTGCACAAAAAGACAATTAAAAAATTATGTGTTTAGTTAAATTTAAATTTTTTACTCCTCAACTTCTCTGTCATATTTGTAAAAATGGAGCACAATCCGACATGAAACTCTTGATTTTTGTTATTGCAAATTATATAGATAAATTATATAGATGTAAACTCAGGGCTAGGCTTTGAATAAGTGATTTATTTCTCTCGTTATACAATTCATTATACAATTTTCATAAGAGAGAAATTAAGAAATTAAGAAATCGAGGGTTACGTATACATTTCTGTATTTCATTTTAGTATAGTATGTTTGTTGAAGATGAAATAGCATTGAGATATATGCTCCCATAGTGTTTCGTACGCACGTATTCATGCGCACAAATTGTGGCACTCCGTCGCGTTGTTTGCGAGACAAAAGCCGCTGGTCATGGCACTGCTGGTTCTCGCGAATCACAATTTCACGGCGCTGCCGACATGACACACGGTATGTACACGCGTTCCGCCGTGTGAAGGCAATATTCCGATCGAACATGATAATAAAAAGCAACAGAATTCGAAATAGTTCGGGAGTTCGAATACTATCGACCAATCCCCTTGTTCCCCACCGCTTTTTATTTCCCTTGTCTTCTCTCTGTCTGCCTTGTCGTTTGTTGCGATCCACTCACATTTTCCCTTGGATAAGGCAAAGAATGCATTTCACTCTTTTCCTTTTCTTCCTTTTTCGCCTTTCTTTTCTTTTTCTGTCCAAGCGCACTGACACTGGCATTCACGAGTGGGCGGAATAGGCAAACTAAAAGGAAGCATCGCGGAAAAAGGAGGAATATATAAAGAATGGGCGCGCATTTTCGCGAAGTAGCATTTACGTGGTCGCGCACTTTGGAATGTGGATCCATGCCACACACGAAATAACAATTTCGTCGTTTAAGTTGCACGGCATGCCGGTAGAACTCGTTTTTGCCAATCCTGGATTATCCGCATGCAATCATTTGTTTTTCTAAATTGTTGTTATGTATTGTCGGGAATATCGAGATGTGTTTGTTCCAAAAAATAGAAAATACGTATTCATGCTTAAGCTTATTTTCTTGTATCATACGTACAATCTGGAATACTAGACTCATCTCTGTCTTTATTTTAATACACGTAAACTCAAAAAAATTCTCTAATTTTATGTAATTTATTTAATTAATCATTAATCTACAATAACATAAATCTTTAAATTGGAAGTTTTAATAATTTCTTTTAATACTAAAATGCCTACAACATTTTATCATAATTTATACATAACGCTGACAAATAATCAATACTCGTACGTAGAACCAATATTTCTGCATAATGCGCAATATGCTTCTAGCTAAATAAATTCGATTTATTTAAAAAATTCCAGATTTTTTAAAACAACAAATCCGAAATTTTTATCACATTGCCGCTTTTGATTGCATTTCGAAATGCAATCGGCAATATCACAATAACAGAATTTATGTGCGACAAGGATTTTGAACTTCATTGTCGCATTGCACACAAAATAACAATTCCATTCGAGGCGAAACTTATATTCCCACTGTCTTCCATCCGAGTTTCTCTCTCTCTCTCTCTCTCTCTCTCTCTCTCTCTCTCTCTCCCTCCCTCTCCTTTTTACTTTTTATTTGCTTTCGCAGAACCGGCTAAATCACGCTCGACCTTCCTATCGTATGGGAGGAAGAGAAATGACTGGATTTATAGTTCACACGGTTGTACGACGGTCCAGAAATCGTACACGACGTGAATAATTTCGAATGTGCACGTGTTTCTACGTACGTGCAGGGGAGGACGTATATTTCTCCGGGGGTATCCCACGATTTTTGAGTCGTTCTACGCGAACTGCATGGATTTCTTATGCAAAACTTCATGGAATGATAAAACGCAATGCAGAACGCGATTTTGTTTAACCTTTACAATCTTGCATCGATCCCACATCCTATGATATGATTTTCAATAAAACATTTATAATATCTCTGAATGCAGTGCTTGTTACACATACAGAGTGAATCAGAGTCGTTGAACCAGCTTTTTACCCTATGAGAAAATAATTGACTGCACACGTTATAATTCAATTAGATATGAAGTCGATGATTTTCTCATAGAATAAAAAGTTGGTTCAACAACTCTGATTCACTCTGTAATCTTTCTAGAAATATTCTTGAAAAATCACTGTTAACATTAATAAATTTTTTTCTCATACGTACGAATGAATGCAGAGATTTACCAGGGAAAAATAAAGGAGACACGTTCTTCTTTGGATTATAAAATAATGAGGTATGAAATTCAAAAAATGTCCGAAATACGTGACTTTTCCGCGTATTATATTATTTCGAGCTCTCCAACTCTCTGTAGAGTTAGGATCATAAAGTTGTCTAAATATCAGATCACATTTCTCATTGAGTTCACTAAGAGCCTTCGAGCTACCTTTAATAATGCCAGCGGAGCAGGAGCTTTGAAAATTTTATCGACCTCCAGGACACTTGGTTATAAATCACGAGTTTTTATTCCAGTCGACCGACGATGAGGACGCCGACGACGAGGACGATTCCTATGAGGGTGAAGGCAAGGGATATAGACATAGGGTGGGGCAGGATAGAGGAGGGGTAGGGAATAAAGATGTTCACGTTGAAACTGCAACGACCACAGAATTCTTGCATGCAGTGAAATCAGGACTGCTGACCGAGCACCGTAACTGAATGCACCTGCTGTTACACGCACACACACACACACACACACACACACACACACACACACACACACACA